GGGCAGCTGCAAGTCTTTTCCTGGTCTGTCTCCCCTGTCCTGTTGCCTCAGGAATTGGGTGAAACACTTTTCTCATTTTCCCCAGCCACATTATGATTACATTACAGCCTTCGTGGAGAGCAAGGACCTGAGCACAGAATGTACGGGGAAGGCTTCATGAACCAGACCATTTAACTTCTAGAAACTGAGACTCACAGGAAATATGAGCTAGAAAGAATTCAGGAGTTCTCCCTATATTAACGCACTTCCCTGGCCAAAGCAAGGTCTATACAATGTCATTCCTGGCAGATGTTTATTTGAGTTTTCCACTGATGGAGGCTGTGTGGCCCCCCAGAAAAACTACACTAATGCTGCCCCCATAGCCACTACAAAATTCCCCCTCATACCTAACCTGAACCCACTACTTTGCTCCACCATGGACGCTGAGAACTGTTTAACCTCCTGATATCTGCTTTGCACACATACATGGCTTGTAAGTTCTTCCACACAAACCACACCTTTTTCAGGTGGGTTCTTCCCTCTCCCAGGGATCCAGCAAGGTCCAGTGACTGAAAGCTGGAACGTGACCTATTCAGATTAGAAACAGGGTGTAAATTTGAACAACACAGGTAGTTTACCAACTGGGACAATTTACCACACAGGCTGTGAGGGAGTCTGTGATGGGCAGTTTAAAATTAGGATACCGGATGTCTTTAAATGATCACTGTGTTTCAAAATGGAATTAATTCAGAACCATCCTCTACTTAGTGTTTACCCTGCATTACTGTGCTATATTATCCTATAATTGGTTGTTAGGTCAGGATTGCAACCTGGCAGGTTCCTCTTCCTTGCCTAATTAGTGTTTCTTCCTCACAGCTCAGTGTGGGACTTGTTTTTTCCCCCCTACAGAGCTTTGTCTCCCGTGCACACCCCCTCACCACACAGTTATTCCCTCTCCCCCTGACAATGATCCAGCCCTTCACATGCAGAAGAGCTGCCATTTGCTCAAGCGTGCTGACACGAAGTTCCTAACGAAACGAGCTGTTCAGTCTGACGAGCTCAAGGCGGTCGAAGTGCTGCACACTTGGCAGCCAAGGCCAATTTGCCATTCAGACACTGTACATTTCCCTCCCGCTCAATCGGCAGCCTTGCAGTGACATGAGTCATTCACCTTCCCCTCCTCTTAAAGCGTGGACTTTCCTGGGGCCGAGCCAACACATGGCACCGCACAGAGGTGAGCCACGTGAAGACCTGGCTCTTGCCCTGACAAGTCCTCCCCTACTGCACGACCACTCTGCTGCACTACACCCCAAACCTGGCTTCCTGGCTTATGTAGGGTGTGAGTTCTTCACAGCACAAGCCCTGTCTTCAGCTGTATAAAGTGCATGTAAATCCATGAGGCAATAGCCAAAACACAGTAGTCATCATGCAAATCTCTTATCTCTCTAGCACCCTCAGCTAGGCTCGGCCAACTTCCTCCTATATTTTGGCCTCAAAAACACGGCTCATTTCTCATCCCAGCTAATGGACCTGCTCTTGCAAAATTAGGCATGAAGGCCAGCTGAACCAGGCTTCCCTTGCCCTGTGAGCAACTACATATTAATACTGTACCACATCCTAGACAGAGCAGTACCAGAAACACTGGACAGTGACAATCTGGAACAGAAACAAACTGGAAGGGGTTTGCAGAAACCCAAAATTAAACTAGACTGAGATGTGTGACACAATACATTAGGGGAGATTAAATGAGTTGATCTGCATAGCTTGGCTGAACAGCACAACTCAACAGCTATAGCCTGGACACAAAGGAGGATGAGAAACTGTACCCTGGTACAGGGAACTGGTGTTAGAGGTAATGAGGTGACACTAGTTTAGACAACGAGAGCTATTTCAGCAGTTCGGAATGGGATGCAGTACCTGGTTGACCTATATCTAGACACAAATCTGTAGAGCAGGGGAAGAAGCTTGACCTTGTGCTTCCCCTATACCTGACTACACCCTTACTTCCAAGAGCAAACAGAGCAAGCACTTGCTGAGACTGCCCTGCCCTAGGCACCACCGCACGTCCCATAGTGTCTCGAGGGGACATTATTTGTCCCAGATAGGACACAGAGGTCTTGGCAGCTTCCTCCTTAGGATGGCTTCAGGTGGTACATGATGAGGCACCGCAGGATGTTGCATTAAGGCTGGCAAGACGGGTGCAAGGAGTGCAGCTCCCAGAGTACACGGCACTTCAGCTCTTCTGAGAGCCACATTCCTGCCAACAGCACAGACATGGCTTACTCAAACAGCCCGAACCTTTGCTGGCCCTTGGGAGTGGTGGAATCTTATCAAATCAGCCTCTGATTTCCTCTGCTTCCACAGCACAAGCAAGTATGCAAAGAAGTAAGATGACATTTGGCTTCTTGCAGAGAACAGCAGATAATTTAGTGAGATTAAGCAGCCTCCTCTCCCACAGAAACCATCTCCACACGGCTGGGCAAAAACCAGGCTCTGCTGGGATGATGCTGCTCGAGCGCCTCTCTGTGGATCTGAGCTCCTCTTCCTCCGTCTCACAATCCTCAATCCACAAACTGATTTTTAAATTTCATTTTACTTATTTAAAATACAAAACCAAATCTCTCCTATTATACCCAGGTAGCACCTCTGAGCTTACTGAAGTTGGCACTAAGCTATGAGCTCACCCAGCCAGAAATCTCACAGTTTCATCTTTTGATGGTGATATTTATGATACCTCTCAAGGCCTTTCTATAGTTTCCAGTAATAGAACAGCTCAAATTGGCTCAGACCTGCAGCTGCTAGGACTCGCTGAGTGACTGGGAATGAAAGAATAGCTGGCAAGGGCATCACCTTTGGAACAAGCAATCAGGTGCCTCTGGTCTCTAGAACATGCTGTGGAGCTCAGCACACAGCTCCATCACCAATGCACATGGCAACACACTGATCATACCAATTTTTCTGTATCCCTTCAAAGACGCAGGAAACAAATGGTCCCCTGCTGAAGTCATGAGTAAAAACAAAGGCTCTTCATCAGCCTCCTGCAGCTGCTCATTGTTTTCCTTTCTCTGCAGAGCCTGCCAGCTCCTGGTTATCTTGGCCAAGCACATGATCGGGGTTTTAAAGCAAATTCAAACTGCAAACAAACAAGCACATCTTGAGTTGAATACACACAAACTGATGGATGCACAGTACTTCTAGCTCTTTAGCAGATCCTGTCTTGCCTCTTCTTCTGATGCTAGCCAAGCCCTGCTTCTCTTCTGGATGAAAAGCAGATGGGGTTGGATTAAAGGCACAGATTCCCAAGCCCTTTACATTTGCACAAATAGCAAGAATTAGACTCAGTGCTGTTTGAGGGGCCACGTATTAGTTGTGCTGGCTCTCTGCAGCATGGAAAGCAATGCAGGAATAGGAATTCCTGCCCTGAGTAATCCTCTGTGCCCAGTTGTGGCAGAAGGTCCATTGTTTCTTAAACTACCACAGAAACAAAATAATTGTTACTGCTGCCACTGCAAGAATAGCAGAAATGATCAAGGATTGTTCCTTCT